GTTTCTGTTCTAAATCATAAATAGGAATAAAAGAGAGTTAGAAAGCTACTAAAAAACGAAATATTACTATTTATAGTCGATACTAGAATTAATAAAATCTAATTTATATTAGCTTTTATCGATAATAATTATTATTATTATATAATTATGAACTAATTATTCATATAATTGTTTAATCTCCTATATATCAAGATATATCTATAAATATTAGATAAAATAGTCTTAAACTAATATTAAATAATCTATATTATATACTTTAATCTCGATATTTATAATTACTACCAAAATCGAGTATTTACCTATATTATCGAACCATAAAAAGATAACATAATTCTAGAAAACCTATAACTCTATAAAATAAATAGATATTATTTAGCTAGAAAAGAGTATCCAGATATCTTTTTAAAATTAGGAAAATATACTAGATACTAAAATTAAATAGATTATTTAATTAGGCCTATTAAAATCAAGATATTATAGATTAAGAAAATAATAGAAGTAGAAATTAATAAACTAATATATTATAAGATAAATATAAAATAGATATAAATTAGTAAAATCTTAATAGATAATATCAAGAAGACTTTTTAATTAAAGAAATATATCGATATAAAAAAGAAATTATTAAAATATTATTAATAATAATTAAAAGTTTTTAACTAATAATTAACTAATTAATTATTATTATATCAATCTAGAATTGATTATAAAATCTTATTAAAATAAGACTAGAATAAGATCGAAGAATTTTTGTTATATAAACTATTATATAATATAAACAAAAAAGAATTTTTATATCTAAAAAAGATATTAATAGATCTACTTAATAAAAACTTTATAAGAGTGAGTTAATTATTAGTAATAATACTAGTATTATTAGTACAGAAACTAGATAATAATATATAATTTTATATTAATTACTAAAGATTAAATAAACAAATAATAAAAGATTATTATCTTTTATTTTTAACATATAAAATATTATAAAATATAGATTAAATAAGATAATTTATAAAACTTAATATTATTATTATATTTTATAAGATTTATATAATACTAGAAAAAGAGTAGAAAATAGTCTTCTAAATATATTATAGATTTTATAAATAGAATATAACTCCCTTTAGATTAATAAACACACCAACAACATTCCAGAGATATATTAACTAGACTTTTTACAAATTCCTCGATAATTTTATATTAGTATATATTAACAATATTATTATATACTCTAGTAGAAGTCTAAAAGATTATTAGTAAAAAGTTATCAAAATATTATAAAAATTTAAGGATATAGATCTTGATTATAATATTATAAAATCAGAATTTAAATAGGACTTAATCAAATATTTAAAGTTTATTATTTAAATAAAGAAGAAGATCTATATAAATCTTAAGAAAATAAAAATAATTTAGGCCTAGAAATATCTTAAATTAATATATAATATATAAAACTTTATTAGATTTATAAATTTCTATTAACTATTTATCTTTTAATTTATAGATATATTAATTTCTCTTATAAGACTAATAAGAAAGGATATTATATTTAAATAAGATAATAAATATTAATAAGTTTTTATAGAGCTAAAAGATCTATTTATTAATATATTTATATTAATATATTTTTAAAAAAAAATATAGTTATTAAGATTAATATCTTAGGATAAATAATAGAAATAATACTATCTCAATATAGAATAGATAAGGAATTATAGTTGTATACTTATCCATCATAAAAATTATCTTTTATAGAATTAAATTATAAGATCTATAATAAAGAGTTATTAATAATTATTTAAGTATTATAGAAATAGAGATTAGAATTAAAGATAATACTGTAATTTATAATTATAATAGATTATAAGAATCTCTAATATTTTAATAAAATATAATACCTAAATAAATAATAAATATAATAGATAGATATATTAATAAAATTTAATTTCGATCTTATATATTAACTAGAGAAACTTATTATAAGACTAGATATATTCTTATAATAAAGTTAAGATATCTTTATAGATATTATTAATAAATAGTTATTAAACTAGTTCTAAATTTTATTTAAGATAACTAGAATTTATATAAAAAAAACTAATATATAACTAATAGATAATAAATAAATAAATAACTAACTAATAATAAAACTAAATTACGAGAATAATATTCTTTTATTTAAAAAACCAGAACTATAGTCTAAATAAAAGAAAGCCCAAAAATTAGATAAGATATACAAGTTGATATTATATATTTTATATAATAAAGATTAATAATTAGTTATTAAATTAGATATAAAAATAAGTTTAGTAGAATACTATTTAGATTATTAAAGATTATTATATTTCTATTAATAAGTCTAGATCTTAGATAATAAAGTATTATATAAAAAAATTATATAGAAAATATATAATTCTTATATAATAATATATCTAAATTAAGATATTATATATATAATATTATCTTAGTAGTTTTTCTAGTTAGAAATAATAAAAGATATATATTATTTTTTATAAAATTATATAATTTATAGAAGAAGTTTGGTGTAATATAATATGAAATATAAATTATTAAGATCTTTACTAATTCTATAATAAATATAGATAGAAATATCTATAGATTTTATTACTAGCCTATCCCCATCAAATAGAATAGAAGTGATAAATTATATAATAATAACAGATTAGTTAATAAAAAATATTATCCTAATAAGGATAAAAAATATAATAACTAAAGATATAACAAATATATTTCTAGTATATTTTTATATATATCATAAAGTCCTACTAGCAATAGTAAATAATCATAATCCTTAATTTATAAATAGATTCTAAAAGAGAGTATACAAGAAATTATTGATATAATAATATTTATTAATAATATTTTATCTATAAACTAACAATATAATAAAATATACTAATTAAGAGATCAAATATATTCTATATATATTCATTATCTATATATAAGATAACTAAGAGAAATTATTATTAACTATTACTACTATAATCAATAATTATAATATTACTATTACTAGAATATTATTATTCTCTTTTATTTATAGATATTATATTAATTTAATTAGAATTAATAATATTAACTAATTAAAAAATATTTTAATATAACTAAAATTAGTAGATAAAATCTTTATAAATTACCTATAAAAAATTACTAATTAGATCTAGATAATAATAGTTATTATATAAGTAATATAAAAAAAGTAGATAAATTAATAACAATAAGCTATACTAGTATATTAGAAAAAAGACTATATATAATTAAATCTATAAAATATATATATCTAATATCTTTCGAAGAAACTAGATTAGTTATATATACAATATTAAGTAATCGATATCTTATTATTATATATTATTCAATTAGATATTCCTACCAACATCTATTTTATATTTTATATCAAATTAGTATAATCTACAGCTACAAATCTACTTCTCTCTTAGATTATAGACGATATATAGCTACTATTATTATTAAGAGACAACAAGTTAGAGTACAAAATCGAACGGATTATAGCTATTCAATATAAGAAAATTAGGAAAGGATATCACAACGAAGCTCTTATAAAATAGATCGGCTGGGTAAAGCAAACTTGGCAGAAATTAAGCGACTTAGAAGACTGTACAGCACTAGACAAATTCGAGGCCTAATACAGCCCGTTTAACAGGTAATTCAACGGCAATTAGAGACAGAAACACACATTACTATCCCTATCGCACAAATAAAGCTAGGAGGGGGATATTGTCACAAGCCAGGGCCCGGTATTGATCACATAAGACACATAACCTTAGCGTACTAATAGCGGAGGACCAGCGTATTAAACTCCTTTCCTTAAGTTTATCGAACACAGTTCATGGTCTAGTATAGATTGAATCAAGTCTTACTTTAGCCCTTCACACAGTCTCTCTCTGCCGCCTTTGATGGCAGCACCATCTAAACTACTATCGTCCGAATATATACAAGAGTGAATAGAAGGACAGTGGGAGTTGGGTATTAGATCGGTCGTTATAGCTTCTTCTTCCTCCCATTCTCCTCTTCCATCTCTAGCTTTAGTATTCCGAATTGAAACACCGTTGTTGCCACGTCCTAACTCCGTTTAGGTTTCCCGTTGACAATATCAATGATATTAGATTAATGATATAATAATGATTAAAATGGATAATTATTAATAATAGTTAGTATATTCTATTTATATTAATAGGTAAAAAAGTTTAATATTTATAATTATGAATACAATACAAAATAGTATTTTTTAATATATTAAGTTTAATTTTGTTCATTTCTCTACTTTAGGATTATATAATTATAGTCTTTTAAAAAGTTGTTGAAATATTCAATTATAAGATCAATTATTATCAATTCTTAATTAAGTTATAGCAATATGAATTGTAGGATAGATAGAGCTAACAAGATTAAGTTTAGTAATAAAAGATCTAGTAATAATAACGATTTGGAGAATGAAAAGAGTAATAAGAGAAACAGTAGCAAGAAGAGTATAGATAATATAGATATATCTGATCTAGGGATTTCAAGATCTTTAAGATTTATATTGATATATTGATAGTAGAATCTGGAAGTCTAGAGATCTAACAGTACGTTTTCTATAGAGATGTCAGAAAAAAAACTTTTTCCGAAAGCAGTCATATTAATTCTTAAGGTATTTACTAAGACTATATTTATTTGTCAGAAAATTTGTTAAATCGGGATTATGTAGTTTTTGCTAGCCAATTACTAATTATATGATAATAAGGTATTAATTAGGTATTAATACTACTGAATTGGGCAGTTGAGGTCATAGAAGGGTCAGAATAGCTAAAGGAGTGTCAAAATAGCCGAAGATGGGGGGGGGGGCTCTCAATATAATATTGCACTATTTTCAATATAAAATAATAAATAAATATAGCCCATGACTCGACGGTTGGCTGAGGTAGGGCCCTACCTTGGATTTTAGTCACTAATCGGCTCGAAGAGTGTAGCAGGAAAACTTAGTAGTTTTGGAAAATAGTGCTGCATTTGATCTTTGCCTTCAGAGCCTTAGCCAAGGCTGGTCTCTTTTGCAAAAGATTTGCCAGGGCGGTTTGTAACTCTCGGGTTTGATGGAAGTCAAGCTCCGGTCTGCCTTGCATAGCTAATGGGATCATTCTAATAATATCACGAATATGGGTTTCTTCTTCGCGACTACCTTGGCGTCCATCCTGGGATAAGATCTTTTCCCTCAGGATCCATTCGGGGGCGAAGAATTTGACTACTTGGCCATTGATATTTAGCGTCTTCCTGTCACAGATTCAGCTAGAGCGTGTACTATATAATGTGTGCCTGGGCATATCCGCACATCATATGCGGATATGATGTGCGGATATGGTGGTCTTTTGGCTCAGCTGTTGGAACATTAGCCCAGGAATGATCCTTCACACTTCCGCGTAGCTACCTGATATTGTACTGGGGACGTTGCGGCCAAGTTTGGCGGTCAAACACTTCCACCTTCACCGACTGACCGGCTATTCCGGGCCAACGAAGCTTGTACGCTGGGATGGTGTGTCCAAATTGGCTGACTCCTTCGAAGTCGGCCGGGGAGGAGGTGAGGAGCTGGGCTGTAAGGCGGTCGGCGGTGATCAACATGAATGACTAGGTCAACGTCTTCAGTCCTTCGATACGTCTTCACTCCTTCGATTCGGGTCTGGACTTAACAAACAGGAGACGGCGCGTCCCATTACGGTGTAGTCGATGTCCAGTGAACCAAATGTGCGCTAGCGCGGAAACAACGGTTCCTAAATCTCGGCGAGTGAGCGGTGCCATTGTATATTTTGCACCTCAGACTGTGTCTGTAGGCACGCCATTCTGAGAAGTCAACAAATACAAGCAATACTTACTAGATATATTTAACTACGAAGTTTGGTTGAAGTGGAGGTTGACTGAATGTACTGTTTTACTTCCAGATTCGTACAGGCAAATAAAGAAACTGGTGATTGTCCGAATTTGATGCTCTATTTATGCTACTCCCTATAGCGATAGGCAAGAGCGAAGGGCGTAGTAGAGATATCAGATATCTTGCTCCCAGTGATGGCGTTTAGAGTAGACTGTTTAACTCTGGCGGTAGACCTGGCACTCATCCGCGGGTGACCCTCCGGACCCTCTACCCAACCCGCCCCGCAGGTGGGTAAGCGATCGAGTTGTCGGCCCTGAGGGTCACCTGCGGGTATACCTCAGGATCAACAAACAAGATAAACAGGTAAAAAATGTGACTTGTTTATAATACATAAATTATGTTGATTTTTTGTATATTTATCTATAATTTTAAATATAGTAGTAGAATAAGGAATCTAGAATTAAAATTATAAAAAAAACTCTATTTATTAATATATAAATTATTTAATATAGGATACAGAGAATAAAATAATATAATAATTATTAAGATGTAAGTGTATAGCTTTTAAATAACTTCGAGTGTTCACATTTTTTATCAGATATATACTATTATATATCAGATAAAGAAAGATTTATATTACTATTATTATTTTTATTATAATTTATAATCTTATTATTTTTAAGATCAAGTATTTTTATATAAGATTGTAAAAGAGATTATAAAAAAGATTACAGAAGAGATCATAGAAGAGATTATATAATAAAGATATATATATCTTATTTAAAGAAGGATTATAGGATAAATAATAGATAATTGATTTATTATTATTTTTTCTTATTTAGTATGAAATAAGATTGATTATATTATAAGTAGATTATATCGGAAGTTATTTGGAGTTTTTTAGTTTATTAAAGTATAAGATATATTAAATTTTATTATATTTATATATTTTAAATAAGTATAGCTTTTAGTTTATTAGGCTAGAGATTATAGAAAGTATTATAGTATTAAAAGTTTATATTAATATAGATAATAAGATTATAAATCTTACATATTTAAATATAAATATAATTATTATATAATCAGAGCAGAGGATAAAAGAATTTATTTTATTTAATGTATTAGTAATCTTATATTTTTATTATTAAATATATAATATTTATATATAATCCTTTCCTTTTTCTATTTAATCTCTATAGTTTTATTTTTTGAGTAATATCTTTATCTTTCTAAATAGATTATTTAGGCTTAATCAAATTATATATATAATATAAGAAATTTAGATAATTATGGATTTAGTATTAAACTTTAAAATCTAGATTATATTATTGATAATAGTTATACAGATAATATTATTAGATATATTATTTATTATGAGTATAAATATTTGATTAAGGATTTAATATTATTAGAAGATTTATATAATAATTTTATTCAGATTAGCTTTTAAGTACATATTAGAAAATGGTTTAAATCTAAGAAAGATTTTATGATAATCCTAGTTTTAATTAAGAAAATACATTATTAGTATTATAAATATTTATTAGAATAGTAATATCTAGTAATTAAGTATAAGGGATAGTTTTATATCCAATAATAGATTTGAAAGAGTAGTTTATTAGTTAATTATAATAAATCTATAAAGTCTTATATAGATTATCTTTTGAAAAGAAATTATTAATGTTAAAGAGACTAGTTATATGTAAGATATAAGATCATAGAACTTTTTATATTTAAAGAATAAGAAAGGTAAATATATTATAATAACTAGATTTAGAAGTTTCTATTTTTAAGTACTCTATACAAATATTTAAATAAGCATTTTTTAATCTTAGTAGATTATTTTTAAATTAATTCTAAATTAAGAGATAAGTTTGTTATATATATAATTTAGATAAGTAGTTTTTTTATCTCTTACTAATATTATAGTCTTTTAAAGTATTTATTTATTGATAATATATTAGAATATATTAAAGCTAGATATTTAAGAACTATATAATATTATCTATATATTATATCTAGTTTTCTATCTTTAATATAAACTATTTGATTAAAATCTTCTTAATAAGATATATAATATCTTATATTCTAATTAATCTATTTTTTTCTTTTATAATTAGTTTAAAATTATTATTCAATAAATTTCTAATTTATCTTTATTTTATATAATAGATATTAGTTATTAAAAGATAGAATAATTATTAAATATTATATTAAATAAAGATTAATTTACTAGAAATAAATTTAAGAAAAAAATATTATTTAAGATAAGATATAAGAGATTATCTATTTTAATATTTTTAATTATTAAGAAAGGATATTTATCTAAAAGTTAAGATATGATTTAAAGGATTTGTAGAAGACCTAAAAAGGAAGACTTATAGAAAGTAAATAATAAAAAAGTTATTATATAAAAGAGAATTAGTTTATCCTAGTTATAAAAAGATATAAAATTAATAGATTATTTTTAGATTTATTTAGACTCAAATTATCTAATCTAATTAGTTAATATAGAAGATATATATAACGTAATTCACGGCTAACCCGTTAACACGGTTAACCTGTTAATCCACCACCCATCTAAATTTTCTATCAATAATAACTCTACAAAAATTATATTAAATTATCTCAAATTAACGCTCCATACAACGAGTAATATTGTGCCCTAAACCTCCACATCCGTTATATCTTTGTGGAGCCTTCCTATATAGTAAATTGGCTTGATTTGCCACTTCGCTAGCCTCGTCAAATACAACTTTATTATCTTTAACAGGCTGGTTTAGCTGTTAAACTAACTATTAGCCTTCTGTAATAGTTAGGCCTCTATTGTGTTTTATTTATTTATTGGGTTGTATTTTTTTTTGGCTCTTTTTTCTTATTAGTATATCGTAAATCGATATTCTCTTTAGCTAAAATTTTAGTTATATATATTAATAAAGTTACACTTTTGATGATTAAATTTAGAGCTTTTTTTGAAGATAATAGAGGACTTTTAGATTGTTTTATAAATAGATCTTTAACTAATTTTATCTATCTCTCGAGTTCGAGTATAATTTTAGATATTTTAAGCGAAATTTTGCTTGAAATGTTATTTAGTTAACTAGATAATAATAAAGATATTCGAAGATATTAAGCTTAGAAAGTACCCTTTTAGTATTAATTAGAGTTAAACCAGCAGCTATAAAACTACTTTGAATAATATAAGACTAGAATATTTCTTTTCTTATATAAGAATATTATATTAGAAAATTAAACTTATTAATATAGTTATAACTAGTTTAGACTAAATTATTTATAAATCGATTATATATATATTTCAAGACTATAAAATATCTAGTATTAAATAATTAGAGTAGATATAATAGATATATAGATATATAAAGTAGTATAATATTGTTTTTAGTATAAATTCAATTAAATTAAGATATTAGATAGTTTCTATAACTATTAAATATTAATAATCAATATTAATCTTATATATATAAATTTATATATAGAATAAAATATTTTTCTAATTAATAAAAGTCTATCTTATCTATTATCTAACTATTATTCGAGATTTTAATTCGCTAGTCTTATAATAGATTATTAAACTAACTAGTATTATAGACTTAGTCTTTAAATATAATATATAATAGAAATAATAAATTATTAACACAGATTATCTTAATTATAATAACTTATTTACAATTTCTAAACTATAAAACCTTTTGTTAACTATAATATTCTACTTAGATAACTATCTTTTATATTAATATAAGATCTATTACAAATCTAGTCTTATCAAAGTTATAGATATCTTCTAGTAAAATACTATTCTCCTTGATTGTATATTATTGTCAAGGAACAATGGGGACTCGATGGTGAAACGCCATCGAGTCAACATTGGATGTGCCTTTGAAGATATATTGGGACCCTTTGGGCCCAAGTTGCACCTTTCAAGGCCGGGAAAGCGGGGCCCCGGGACTCTCTTGCATCCTATTGGTTAGATTAGGGCCGAACCCCTGGCGAACCCCCTTATAAAAGGGCTGTCCTTTTAGATAGAAAGAGTAAGCTTTAGCCTTTGTTCAGACCGGAACCCTATAGTGGGATCCCATCGAATATCATTGTCTCGCCTGGTCAACTGGTGCCACCCAAATCTGGCAGTTCCATTACAATTATATAGTTATAAACCACTCTTTTATAAAGTTCGGATCCTTATTTTAAGTATATTTATAATTATATCATCTAGAAAAATATATTTAGAGTTTATTATGTTGTTTAATAACATTTAAGACCTAATTAACTCTAACTATTAGAGAAGAAGTTAAATCTTATGTTTATAGAAGGATATTAACTATTTCTTATATAGTAAAAGACCTAGAAGCTGCTCTACATATATCTATAGAAATAATCTATTCAGTAAACAAATCCTCTTCTAATTAAGTCAATTTATAACGATACCAACAGTTATCGACGTGTGAAGTTATTCTATTAGCGTAATCGTGAAGGGTAGTGTAGGATAACTCGAATAGCTTTGTAGCAGTGTGGAGGGACTTAATTTGGCCTTTTTTAACTGCTTCAAGAGCTAATAAGACCCTTCCCTCTTGTTTAGCAGATTTTTGCCACGATTCCGATCGAATTGGTGCCATATTGGAGGTTTGAAGATGGAAGGTAGGAGGAGATGCGTGGTTTTCGGTGGGGTTAGCGGGTTAACCGCGTTAACGGGTTAGCCGTGAATTACGTTGGATAAAAATATTATCTTGAAGATTAA